ATATATATATATATATATATATATATATATATTTATATATATTTTTATATTATATATATATATATATATATATATATATATATATATATATATATATATATATATATATATATATATATATATATATATATATATATATATATATATGTGTGTGTGTGTGTGTGTATAATGAAATATGAAAATAAACAGGGGGGCTAATAACTCAGAGGGGTTAATAATTCTGATTGCAACTCCTAGCCCCCCTAAATTATTAGCCTCACTGTTTATTTTTTTTCCCAATTTCTGTTTAACGGAGAGAAGATATTCTCAACACATTTCTAAACATAATAGTTTTATTAACTCATTTCTAATAACTGGTTTATTTTATCTTTGCCATGATGACAGTAAATAATATTTGACTAGGTATTTTTCAAGACACTTCTATACAGCTTAAAGTGACATTTAAAGGCTTAACTAGGTTAATTAGGTTAGCTTGGCAGGTTAGGGTAATTAGGCAAGTTATTGTATAACAATGGTTTGTTCTGTAGACTATCGGAAAAATATATAGCTAAAAGGGCTAATAATTTTGACCTTAAAATGTTTTTAAAAAATTAAAAAACTGCTTTTATCCTAGCCAAAATAAAAAATAAGACTTTCTCCAAAAGAAAAAGATATTATCAGACTAACTGTGAAAATTTCCTTGCTCTGTTAAGCATCATTTGAGGAATATTTAAAAAAGAAAAATAAATAAATCTATATATATATTTATTATATATATATATATATATATATATATATATATATATATATATATATATATATATATATATATATATATTATATATATATATAGATATTTAAAAAAAAATATTTTATAAGAGAGAGTGTGTGGAGTAGAGAGAGAGAGAGAGAGAGAGAGAGAGAGAGAGAGAGAGAGAGAGAGAGAGAGAGAGGGGGGGGGGGGGGGTGGGAGAGGGGGAGTGCGCGCGTGTGCGCGCGCGGGGGCGCACACACACAGAGGGATAAAAATTCTGATTATTGAGGTTATATGCAAAATGTTTATAATTATATTATTTGAAGATAACGTCTCCAACTTAATTTAATGTTTATTTGTGTATTTTTTGCAAACAGAATATTTTATATATTCTTATTAATTCATAATATATTAGTCTAATTGTATTTATGAATAAAAAAATACAAATAAAAATAGATAAAAGATAGAAAATATATTGTCATGTGTAATCCCATACAATATAAATATCAAATTTGTTCCAGTTAAAGAAAAATATTATACAACATAGTATTATTATTAGATTTTTTTGCATACTTGTTTAGTTTTTGTAAAAATGTTTAAATAATATTTTTCGAATCGTTTCTATATTATCGTTTTCTATATTATTTGTATACATGTATAAAAAATATTTAAAACATTTTTACTGTCAAATAAGGACAAGAAATAAGTGGCAGTCTGGCACCTACTGAAAAAAAACATTACAGTTCAGACAAATAATAAAGGTTTAGGGCCAAAACAACAATATAAATGTTTCTGTTAGCTTGTATTCATTCATTTAATAACTATTCAAGTATATCTGCTTGTTATTTTGCACCTTTGATCAATAATATTACGTAAAACCCATGAAACTTCAAAGCGCGTCTATGGTTTATTCCATAGGGTTTATTCTGAAGGGAATTTCAATCCGCTTTTCCTTTGGAATGCGTCGGAACCGGAAGTTATGGTGACGTCACCGCCGCTCTCCTATTCCCAGCGCAGGACAACAACCGACCAACCGACTGTGGAGACCGAAAACTTTTGACAAACTCCGCCGAAAAGCCGCTTGAAAGTTTTATAAAGTTTCCCTCCGTGATGCGGGGGTTTGTTTAGAGCCGAGCGGCCGTGCGGCAGATGTGGACCGGCTGTTAGTGCTGGATGGAGTCGGGCTTCGGGGTCCAACGGAGGGCCGGTGGAGGCTCTCCCGCTGTGGGAGCTTCGCAGCGCCGCAGGAAGATTCCGCCCAGAGCCGCTGATTATAAACTGCAGGTGATCATTATTGGCTCCAGAGGTGTGGGGAAAACCAGCCTGATGGAGAGATTCACGGATGACACTTTCTGTGAGGCGTGCAAGTCCACTGTGGGTAAGAATAAACTGACTGAAAATACAAGTTTGTCAAGCTGTTGAGGTAAAGTTGTTTAATGAGGTAAATTTAGATTCATATTTCCATATTCAGACTTTATCATCAATAATATAATTTCAGAAAATTACTCTTTGCCAATTCTAAATAGTAAAATAATTTTAGCATCAAATGACTATTAAAAGTAGCCTACAACATTGTTCACAGCCAGATAAAAAGTGCTAATGTTGTTTCAAGTCGTACTTGCATGTTATATTCAAGTTACCACGGTAAACAATATAGGGACCGTCACAAATTCACTGTTCAAAATTGAACGAATGTGCAAATATAAAAGCAACTTTACCTTAAAGTCAAATTGGGGTAAAATTGGTTTTATATTCGCACATTTGGCTTTAATAATATTAATAATAATTATATTATTAATCATATATCCTTAATAACGTAATTTCAGAAACTTTTTACTTGCAAATTTTAAATAGAAATGATTTAAGCAGCAAATGACTATCAAAGTACAACATTGTTCACAGTTAAATAAATAGTGCTAATGTTGTTTTCAATTCATACTTGCTTGATATTTTAGACTGAATATTTAAATTACCATGGTAAACATAATGGGGACGGTGTTAAAAATTGTCACTGTTTAAAATTAAAGTAATGTGCGAATATAAAAGCAACTTTACCTCTAAATCAAGCTGTCATTATGGATGATCAACGACAGGGAGTTTGGTTATTTGTTTGCAGCTATCTGTTAACCTTTCTTTAAATTGGGCTAAAGTTGGTTTTATATTCGCACATTCGCCCTTAACTCCTTAATAATTTAATTTCATAAAACTATTCCTTGCCAATTTTAAATAGAAATTATTTTAGCAGCAAATGACTATTAAAGTACAACATTGTTCACAGTTAAATAAAAAGTGCTAATGTTGTTCTCAAGTCATACTTGCGTGATATTTTAGACCGAATATTTATATTACCATGGTAAACAAAATGGGGACCGTGTTTAAAAAACCATCACTGTTTAAAATTAAACGAATTTGCGAATATAAAAGCAACTTTACCTCAAAGTCAAGCTGTCAGTATGGATGATCAACGACAGAGAGTTTGGTTATTTGTTTAACTTACCGCTATCTGTTAACCTTACATTAAATTGGGTAAAGTTAGTTTTATATTCACACATTCCAACTTTCTCCTTAATAATATAATTTAGAGCTGCACGATTCTGGCTAAAATGAGAAGCGCGATTTTTTTGCTTAAAATGAAGATCACGATTGTCTCACGATTCTGTAGATGTAAAATAAAGGTATGGTAAAAACAAACATATGGCACAACATCGATAATAATATTATGTGTAGGTCTACTGGTTTCTATAAATAATTCTATTCTACTTATAATAATTCTGATGTTGAATTATTATGTTTGAGATATACGCTTGCAATCTGTCATTGACAACATTATTAGACAATTTTATTCACTAGTAAAATCAGACATTTGCCATTATCAGATTATTTTCAACAATATATAGGCTAGAGTAGTTATACTGACACTGTAAACATTTATTTTCATGTACATTTTCATAAAGTGCACACTTTCGCTTTCATTTTGACTGCTAAGTGCTTGTTCATACTCCGCTCGCAGCTCCCAAACGATCACTCTGTACCACAAACTGAATATTATTTACAACTTTGTTACCTGTTGCTCACAACATCTGCAGGTTCTGTTCATTAAAGTAGACGTGCGCGCGTCTATCATTAAGTAGAACATGCGCGCCCTCTCGGTCATAACAGCTCACGGTTAGCAGCTCACGTCACGTGTGATTTTCCGGCCGCGAAAACATCATTATATGAAGACAAAAGTGACATTTTTAGGTGAATTATACCTTATAAATACATTATGTGACTTAGGGCCTACTCACACTATGCCATCCGTACCGTGCCCAGGCCCGTTTCCCGGATCGTTTGAGAAGTGTGAGTGCGCTAAATCGCGCTCAAGCACGGCTCACTTGGCCGGCCCTGGCCCGGTTGGAGGAGGTGTGCCTGAGCGCGGTACACTTGGGCTTTGGCGCGGTACGCTTGTGTGTGAGATCGCAAAACGCCCCAAAGCCCGAAACCGAAAGCGAGACGTGACTTTTAAGGGACTGTTTGATATGGATTTTTTAATCATTCTTACTGTTCAGTGAACGCAAACTGCCGTAGTTTATTAAAGACGCAAACTCCTCACAGCACGCCAGCTGCGCGCCTTCAGCAGACCTCCTCATTCCTGCAGCACGAGAGCTTTATGACTGTTTATGAGCGCCAAAAGTGGCGGATCTGTTCGGCGAAATATCTGACTGCGTGTCCCCGCATCCCTAAGGACTGTTTGGCGAAATATTTGACGGCATAACAAACGACTGAAACGATATAACTAGAGAAATCTCCACTGTGCTGCTGGGTGAGAGCGTATGGCAAGCCGTTTTAGCATTTAAACCTTGTTCTGACTATCCATAAATATATTTAGAGATATCTCTAATTAAATTTTGACTAGTCATAATTATAATTCGACTAGTCAGAATGACAATTAGAGATATCTGCAATTACAATTGTACTAGTACGAAATCAGATTGGAGATATCTGCAAATATATTATGACTAGTCATATTCCTCCATTGACTTCCATTGAAAAATATTTGCAGATATCTCTAAATGAGTTGAATCCAATTCAAGATATCTACAACTGTAATTCGACTATTAGTAAATTAATTAGAGATCTTCAAATATATTTGTAAATATCTCTAAATATGACGAATTAAAGACATCTCCAAATGTATTATGACTAGTAAAAACTCAGAGATATCTCTAATTACAATTGTGACGAGTCAAAACTCATTTAGAGATATCTGCAAATATTTTTTAATGGAAGTCAATAGAGGAATATGACTAGTCATAATATATTTGCAGATATCTCCAATCTGATTTCGTACTTGTACAATTGTAATTGCAGATATCTCTAATTGTCATTCTGACTAGTCGAATTATAATTATGACTAGTCACAATATAATTAGAGATATCCCTTAATATATTTATGGAGTCAGAACAAAGATTTAAATGCTAAAAAGGCTTGCCATAGAGAGCGCTTCTGAACAGCGCAGCAGCGATGACGTAAGCGTGCCGAGGCCCGATATGGTGTGAGCGCGGGCCGTCGGGGGAGACGGGAGGGGGGACAAGCGTGCTTTGGCCCGGTTCGAGGCAACTGTACCTAGTGTGAGTACGGCCTTATTCAACATCATTTGGAGCGGTCCATGTCACCGAGCAACGTTTGTGAAAGAATGAAAAGACTCGTGCAGCTGCCTTTTCTTCTCTCCTGAACTTGAAAATATGATTGACAGAATCGTAGAAATGCTGGATTAAGATCGTCTAGGGCAGGGATGGGTAAATTTGATCCTCGAGGGCCGGTGTCCCTGCAGAGTTTTGTTCCAACACTAGTCAAACACACCTGAACATGCTAATCAGTGTCTTTAGGATCACAAGAAATCTATAAGCAGGTGTGTTTGATAGGGTTGGAGCTAAACTCTGCAGGACACCGGCCCTCCAGGACCGAGTTTGCCCACCCCTGGTCTAGGAGGCCGAATCGAGTTCGCGATCTTGTAATGATTTAATTGTGCAGCTCTAATATAATTTCAGAAAAGTATTCTTAGCGAATTCTAGATAGTGAAATCTATTGTCAGCCGATGACTGTCAAAGTGTCTTGTTCACAGTCAAATAAATAGTGCTAATGTTGTTTTCAAGTTAGTCTTGTTTTTGAATCTGCCACTATGCTGACAGATAGGCATATGTAGCTCCGCCTTCTTTTGAAAAGAGCACAATCTCGTTTGAATTCAAAGCAACATCGAAATTTTGAGGACATCGGAGACTTATTTTACATCTTGTAAAAATAGGTCCCCTTTAAAGCCAGATTGGATAGCAAAGATGATGGCAAATAAAAACAATGCTGAACATCTGTTATGAATGTGAACATATGGATATTAGTTTTTAAAATGATTAGTGTTTTTAGAAAAAATGCAAAATAAGTAGCTAATAGTTATATGAATATATCAATTTTATAGTCAGCCTTAGCTATGTTGTTGGTATGGACATTTTAATTCAGATAAATAGTAAAACAAATCAAAATACATTCTAAAATACACAGTTGCAGTAATGTGGGTTAATGACCACTGTAACATGAGAGCTCGACAACATTGCAGAGGTCACTCTGGTTGGTCCTGACAGTGTCAACAGAACCATTTCAGCAAGACGTTACAAAAACACTTCTGTAAAAAAGTATATCACTGTTGACTTGTTTATTTTGATGCAAGCAGTTCAAATGATCTAGCTTTAAATTAAACAGTTTTCCTCATGCCCAACTCCTCTGTAATGTCATTAACTGATAGATCTGCGCTGAATCAATCTGCATCAGTCACATGAACAGCGACACATTTAGAAAACATCCAAAACATCTGATTATAGTGATAAAACTCTGCCTTTGAAACAAAAGCAGTCACTTTTACCAGTACATAAAAGCATGTTTGGCCGCATGTTTGTCTGCACGCATGTGAAAACTGATACAGCAAGGTTTCTTTCACTCACTCATGACGAGCATTCATATCAGATTAGTCGCATGCTAGCTATACAAATATCCCAAAATAGCCAGACAGGCGTTCACACAGCTGCTGCTTTCTGCTCGGTCATGCTTGTGACCGTCTGTTAAGCCCAGTTTGGTGTTCAATATAAAGCAGGAATATTGAGATCTATTTTATAGTCCAGGGCTGAACAATATCCCCCGGTTTCACAAACAAGGTTTAAGGCTAGTCAAGATTAAATTGCATGTTTGAGCTGTCTCAACTCAAAATAACTTGTGATAAGATATCTTAAAAAACGTCAGTGTAGGGCTGCTCGATTTTGGAAAAAATCATAATTACGATTACTTTGAGTATAATTGTAATCACGATTATTCTAAACGATTATCAGTTGAAGCCAAAATTATTAGCTCTC